AAGCCTGGGTTCTAATTACAGAAACGAGGCAAAGATAAACAACTAACTGTAACTATGGCAACTAAACCAAACGCTGAGAGTCAAAACAAGATGGCGGTAGGAGAAGGAGTTGGCGAGGCGGTGGAACAGCTAATAAATACAGCTTCTGCCTTGGGAAGCACGACTATTGACCTTAGTAAGAAAAGATTAACACAAGTTCCACCAGAAGTGCTTAGTCTACAACAATTAGAGGTACATTTTACTGTCTTTTATTGCTAAGACGATTTTTGCGCATTGTGATGGCTTTCACGCAAATAACGATGGGCTGATCGTTTTACCAACTGTCTTTTGAATAAGGTAAATCAAGTGCTTGTTACTTGCCTTTCTTTAGTATTTCCTCTCCATTTTAACGTGTTTGTTGTTCTTCTGTTTTCAGTTTTTGTATCTGGAGGGGAATGCTATTTCTTCATTGCCGGAAGAGCTGTTCGATTGCTTACCAAACTTGAGATGGCTCGATTTACGGAACAACCGCATATCAGAGATTCCTCCCATCATTGGAAAACACAGGTTTCATAGTCATTCCCTAGTCATTTTGTTTTCATCCAATTGGTTGGAGCAACCAAAAGGTGGAAACTCCTATTCATTTGTGTGTCAGAGTAGTCTACATTCACCAGCAATTGTTTCAAATATTGACTTTTTTTTTCCAACAGAAATTTGAAAAATCTATTGCTTGAGGGCAACACGATTGAATCACTTCCTTTAGAATTAGGTCAGTATGTGTTAGAATCTGTCACTTTATTCCAAACCTATAACAATGGATTAAACCTTGGTGTAAATTAAGTGCTGGACCCATGATGGACTAGTAGATCCCATCAACGGGGAGTTTATTTTTGTGTTGAGAGCAGACTTAGGGTACATTAGCAGAAGGAATTGTAAAGAAGATCAGATTTTTTCCAAGAAAGTAGGTGACAAAACCTATTTATATACCAGGCAAAGTCAATTGATAAACCGATAATTGATATCATTTGATAACAATAATTATTGATATCAATCAAAGAGTGATATTGATTGCCAATAGCAATCAATGAAAATTGATTAAGCAAAAAGTTGTGAGCTTGATTGTTATCAATTGCTGATAATAATCAATAACAAGTGATTCATTGATTGTAATCGATTGTTATCGGAAATTATTTTTATCCTTTTACAAGTTACATTGACAAAATGATTGACAAAATTTGTCTGTAATGGTGTTATGGAGTCATTTTATCTTCATGGTCTGCATATCTGAACAAAAACAACTAACAGAAACATTTTGGGCTTAACATCTCTCTTTACAACACAGTAGAAGCTCAGGCCAGAGTAGTGTAAGACCCTCCAGTCTCAATATAGCATTGGCATTTAGATGAAGCAAAATAAACAACAGAGTCAATGTTCTAGTGATCTCAATTATTTGTTTTAGGAGACAAACTTAAGAATAGATCTTGAAAAAAGCCAGAAGGAAAATATATCGTAGAGGCATAGCAGTAATCACTTTGCCGCCATAAATATTGACCAGGAACAATACATGTAAAAGAAGATACAGTTTTCAGTGTTTCGTATTCTTGATATATCGACTTATGGTTAAATGGTTATTGTTGTTTTTTTTCAATCAATAACAATTGATATTCCTGACAACAGGAATTATTGATTGTTAGCAATTTTTGTCAATCAAAAGCAATCAATAAAAAAAATTTTGTGAGTTCTATCATTATTGGTTGCAGATATCAATTGATAGCAATCGGCAATCAATATGGCTGAATTTCTGATATCGATTTTTATCGATTGACTATGCCTGGTTGTGTTGTTTTATTCTCCAATTTTGATTGTTTTCACGAAACAAATAGCGATGCATCTGCATAGCCAAACTGCCATGCGTCTGTTCAGTAAGTGATCACAGATGTCAAAATGTGGTAATAATAATAAAAATAATAATATACTAATATTTTAAGAGGAGGCCTCCAATCATCTACAGGTGGTTTTCAGGAGGGTCCTCTAAAAAGTAAAAGTCTGAAATATACATTAAATGTCTAAATACAGAAGTAATAAAAGCTAAAAACATGATACTAAAACTAAGGTTTAAAACTAGAACTAGGATTAAAAATCTACTACTAACTAAGGTTAAAAATGGTGAAGTAAAACCTGTTTCAGTTTGTATTTAAAAATCCTTTTTGGTATAAGTTTCTGTAGCTCACTTGGTAGTGAGGTCCAGTCAGTTAAATGCTCTATAATACATTTTGTTTTTGCCCCATTCTGTTCTTGGCTTGTTAATTTTGGGCATGCAACCATTTCGGGTATTGTAACCATGTTGTTGGCTCATGGTAGATCTGAACACATTGAAATGTTCGGGGATCTCTTCTTTCATTGCGTCTTGCACAAGACAACACCGATGACCAAAACGCCTCGCATGCAATGGGACCCACTGCAATGATGTTAGGGCCTCAGCTGATGTCACTTTTCCCTTTACAATCTTCTTTGCAATGCGACTTTCGAATGACTGCAATTGTTTCATTTGTGTTGTTAGACGAGGCTGATCTCCCCAGATGATATCTGCATAATCTAGGTGTGGTAGGACAAGGCCATTAAAGTATGCTATGAGACTTTTTTTGTCGAGCATATGATAGATTCGGTTGAACACTGAGAGGCGATGCCCCAGTTTTTGTAAAAGGCTATTGACATGCATCTTCCATTTCCATTTCTCATCCAGTACTACTCCTAGGTACTTAAAAGATGAAGCACAATTCACTTGCTCTTTATCAGTAGAAAACTTAAAGTCATTAAATGACGACAACATTGTTTTGCTCCCTGACAGCATCAATTTAGCCTTCTTTACATTTACTGTTAATTTGTTGCTGATGTACCAGTTGGAGAATTGGTTGAAGTCATGTTGAAGTGCGTCAGTAAGCTCTTGGGATGTCGAAACATCCCAAGAAGAACATCAGTGACACACTTGGCTATTGCCTTGTGTGCCACTTTTTGTTCTTACCACGTTTTGATGTCATCTGTGATCAATTACTGAACAGACATAACATGGAATCTATTAGTTAAATAGAGTTGAGTGTTCCAGCCATTGACTCTTTTAGGTCTCGAAATGAACATGAATTTTAGTTGAGAAACCAAAACTTGAAAAACACAGAAAATTTTACTTACTTGTGGGGGTTTTATTTCCAAACCAAAGGAATTCAGATCCATGTACAAAAATATAGCTTGTTCAATTGCAGAAAGATTTGCAAGCTAGGGAACAACGTGAAAATTGGAGCTTAATCAAGGAAATGCGTTACTCAGAATCTTCTGTTGTTCACTTTTGTTTAAGTCTAAATTTTCTTGCATACAATCTAGGCCTGCTAAAGAGTTTATCAGGACTCAATCTCTCCAACAACCCACTAGAGTTTCCTCCTTCCTTCATTGTGGAAAAAGGCACTCAGGTAAATGGTCTCAGAAATTTTGTACATGTATGAATTNGTTTTATAGGAGGGAAAAGAAACTTACAGACACTATTGTTTCGCGTGAGTTAAATCTATATCACACAACACACAAAGAAGCTAAGTCATAACTACTACACTGTCATGGAAAACGTTTGTTCGAGAAATGACGGAACACTCTCTTTCAATAACGAAACAATACATCAAACACGGAAGACCATGATTGACCACAGAGTTAAAAATACGACGCGTAGCGGAGTATTTTTGACGAACTTCGAGGTGTTTGGAAAAGAAGTCAAACACGGTCTTTGGGTTTTGATATATCTTCTCAATGGAAACTAAACCAAAGGAGAAAACGGAGAAATAAAATAGTAAAAATCTATGCTAATTAAGATCAGATATCCAAACACCATCACGGTCATGATTTCCTTTGTTTAAACTTGATGAAGTATGGAGGTTGAGAAATCAACTGCGAAAATGGTGAAAAAAAAAAATATATATATATAACAACGCTATCTTTTGATTATAGACAAAAAGAATTCTACATCAACCCGGCGCAGGAAAAGTAAAACCGACTCGAAGGAGCTTCCTACACCGATCAACGCGCCGGTAACATTCCATCCCCCACCCTCACGGTCAGATGTGGTGAGACGGGAATATGACAGACAGAGAATGGGGCTGCAGTCAAGTGGCGGACTGTCAGCGGATGCGCGGCCTAGAGAATTGACAGAAGCGGCTAGATCTGCTCCCAGGCAAAAGAAAACCAGCCCTAAATCAGAAAGGTAGGGAGGAGTTCTTTAAAATTGCCTTTTTATCATGGTGCTGTTTATTATTTAGAGCATCCTGTTTCACATATAACGACAACTAAAGTTTGTGTTGCCACACGTCAGAAAATGGTCAGGTTAAAATAACTCTTCAAGGTCAGGAAAACTCAGGGAATTTTATCTTGTGCAAGGGAAAATTGAATTAGTTTAACATGGCTGGTTTATTACCATTGAAGGCTGGAAGAAACATTTGGGGTGACTGTGATCTAAACGATGTAAAATTCGTTGAAAACTTATCCGCGGAAAAGACGGCTGTAAGGGGAGGCCAGAAGTCGCTACTATATCCGACATTTTTTATTCATTTTATCAGGGAAATTGTATTTTATCAGGGAAAAGTCAGGGAATTTCAAAATGTGATATCCGTGGCAAACATGAAAATGCTTTAGCAAATGTTCATAGCTGAAAGTAAAGTGGATGTCGAACCCTTCAGTTATGTTATATTATGTTTTTAATTGGGTAGAGTAATATATAGTTCGCAAATATTTTATAGTGTCATAGCTATCATTTTGTTCAGAGATGAGAGCTTAAGGTCATTCCACTGAAATAGAACCGGCACTGAGATTTTTTGTCAAACTTTGCCTATTGATTGTTTCTATTATAGGAACTTAAATTTTGAATTTAAAATGAGGGGTCCCCGTGTTCGTTTAGGAGCAGCAGCACCTTGTTTATACCCGTATAAATCCTTATAATAGCCCCATGATTATAGTCACGATTGCTTGCTAAATTCACGTTTCCGACGATTGTTTTTTGTTCTACACTGAGAATTGGTCTACAATTATTTTACACAGAGAAATTTATTATTCAATTCAAAACAACAGAAAGAAATGATAGGTCACCGTACTCGCTTTCGAGAAAATGACGATTTAACTCTATGGCGAGGTCCAGCCGTGAAGAAAAAGCCGCCATTTTCTAATGCGCGCGCGCTAATCACTGAAATGAGATGAAATGAGATGAGATAGACGCGAAATGAGATAGACGCGATACTGATTGGTCAAAACGTGTCATGTGACGTTTCTCGTACAAGGCATAACACCTAACATGTTTAACTGGTTGTTTTTATATTGAAGTTCAAGGACAGCTCGGTTCCAGTACGACGCCGGCGGCGCAACTCCAAGGTTCCCGGATTACGAGGCTCGATTGGCCGATCAACAAGAGATGGCGATTTTAGCAGTTATGAACGAAAAAGAGGCTCTTATATTACAGAAAAGAAAGTGAGTTGATACAATTGAAGAAATGTTAGCCTGCGAGGAAATTACAGTATCTCGGCAGCTCTTTTAGAGCAAAGATAGCTTGCTCGCACCAAAACGGATAAATTATGTGTTATAATACTTTTTCGCGATTTTACGTCTTTTTTCCTGTGAATGTTTGGTTATGCTCATATCAGCATTGACGTAAGTGGACAACTTTGAACAAACGCGAAACAAAAGATGCTTTGTAGTCCAATCGATTTATATTGATAATAAAATAAAACTAAAAAGCAATAGCGCAGCATTTGCGTATTTGTTTTCTGTTTGCGAACATTGAAGATTACAGAGCAGTTCTTTGCTTATTTTCTTTCGTTATTTATTTTTTCCTGGAAGTAGCAAGGAAACCTTTTAAATCTGTATATCTTTACACAACACATGTGAGTTAACAAATATAAATTTACATCTTCAGAGATAAGCAAGCTCTAGATGACTGGAGGGAGCGGACCAAACTTCTGCGTCAACAAAAGCAACAACTTGCTACCATGAAGGGCTCAACACCTGGTAAGTTTCTTTTAGTTTTCGCAAAATATCCCGCTCTTGATCCTAAGAGATGTCAGGTATTTTGTTTTATAGCTATTTCTTCAGTCTTCTGTTCAACAGTTTTCCTCTATTAGATAAACAGGCTGAAATCATAAAAATTTTCTTTCGGTACTTTTGGATGGCGTAGTCGATGATTACTGATTTTGGTTCTTCTTGGCTTTTTTGCAGTCGAGGTAAAAGCCCCGTATGGAACGGAAAAGTCAGCCAAGGAAGAGGAAAAGGTGAGAAGTTACTAAAAACATCACGAGGTTTTTTTTTTCAACGTATGCCTTGAAACAAAAATCAAAATAACCACAGAGATAATACCCATAATTCTAAATAGAGCTGCAAATTAATCAGAACTGGAAAAAGAAGTTGTAACCGGTTGCAACCGGTACGAAGCGTGGGAAAATTGCTCTCAGTAAAATTACGTGACTTTTTCAGGATGCACCTGATTGGCTTAGAAGATACATACATGTTAGATGTCAGTATGCAGAATGTGCTTCTCCAATTTATTTCTCAATTCAACGAAGTTCAAAGAAATAGAAAGTAATTTGACAGCCGTTCGATGCCCCTTTTTAGCTTGGTAAATAAATCATCGAGGTAAACGACAGCATTTATACAATGCTTTGTCGCGTAAGTAACATTATTGTCGTTTCTTATTCAGTCTCCTCATGGCTACGCCAAGCAATTGAAGGAACTTTTAGAAGAACGAGATGGAAAAGGAGCAGCAAGAAGGTACAGTATTTGACATGTAGCTTGGGTTGGTCTTGAATTGAGACTGAGGGAGGTTTTAGAATTCCTCAACAATACCTGATCCATAAAGCGGGATATTGTTTTCCGAAAAATCGCGCTATATTTTGATTGAAGGGTTAGCATTCGAATGCTTTTGGGCCTCTTTTGAAGATTTGCCGAACACAGTACTTGCTTTTGCAGTCTATAATAGCTATGGAAGTTTCACTTTGGTTTTGGCAATCTGGATCCCGGGCTCTCTATCCTCAACGACAAGGGACGAAAATGAGAGAGTCTAGGATCTAGGTTGAGGTTTTTCGGCGATGTTTCTCTTCTTATAGTAGGGAGTTTAAGAAAACCACAACGGCAACGGCAATGGGAACGTCGCTAAACAAATGGTTGAATGAGCAATACAGTGGCATTGCAAGTGCGTTATAATTCTTGGTACATTTCTTTGCCGTCCTCTACAAGACAACAACGTGAAATGACCAAATTTCGCGTTGTCTGGAGAACGTGAACCACAACGGATAATTTTTGAAATTTATTTTCGAATTTTACGCTGTGTTCCAAATTCAGTTTCGAGATAGCTTTGACAAAGAGAAACAAACTAAATGACTTTAAAGATTCGACGTTGTCCTCGGCGTCGCCGTCGTAGTTCCTTAAACTCCCTAGTGTTTTAGATAAACGGTACCTTTTTGTAGACAATTGTAACACTGCACATGTTATAATACGTTGAAATGCGCGTCTTGTTGTAATGCTTTGTTTAATTGTTCTATAGGGCCCTAGGGGATCGCGAGTTGGAGACTAGAATCAAAGTGCACATGGAAAAATTAAAAGAACACCGCAATAAAGCGTATGGATCGGTACAAGAAGAGCTCGAGTCCGCCAGAAGGAACTTAGAAATGGTGAGTTTAGGTATCCTCAGTTGAACAACTAACCCTACATTGTATACCACTGAGTATTTCCAAAAATAATGAATGAAACGCTNCGTAACGTAGCGTAACGTAGCGTAACGTAACGTAACGGAGGAGGCAAGTGGAAGAAAGAAGCAGATCATCCAGTCTGTGTTAGACGTCGGATAGCCGGAGCCAAGAAATAGTTAATTGTCTTGAGCTCCTGACTGCGCGCAATCTTGCAGATAGCTGGCACACTTTAAAATTGACAAGCGCAGTGTTGGAGAAGTAAAAAGCGATTTTACTTTTGAGCGCATCAATTTTAAAGGTATACAAAATCAGACATTGCGCGCAATGTCGATACCGTATGTCCGTATGTTAATCGTATTTGATTTGAGAAAACCTCGTTAAGGATAAAAATAAGCCGGCTGTTGACCTTTCAGTCGGAAAATATGCCAGATATTCACCTGACGCTGGTCAATATATCGCTTACTCGAGCCTTTCAATTGAATAATGTTTTTGTTACCCCTTAGTGATCAGTTAGTTAATTCTCTCATTCTGCATGCTTGACTTTGTATGAATAATTTAAGGTGACTCCTCAGTACAGTCAACTCCCGCCTTGCGGACACCTCGCTATTACGGACTCTCGCTGTTACGGATTTACGGACACTTTATTCGGTCCCAACGTCACAATTTTATTGTTTCCTCTCTCGTTATAGCGGACACCGAGAAGCATCTTGGAATATTTGCACACATATAGAGTCTATTTTTTCTGCTTTTTGAGATTGTCTTTGTCTTTTTTGGTCGATTTCCGCTTCTTCTGTCCATCAATCAAAATTTCTTCATCTTTTTCTCTTAAGGCCCTCTTTGCAGTCTCGCTGCCATGAATAAGTTCGTCCAGTCTGTCCAAATATTATAACACAAAAATTTTCTCGCACCCTGCTATTACAGACTCTCGCTATTACGGACACCAAATCGCGGTCCCGAGGGTGTCCGCTATAACGGGAGTTGACTGTATTACATTGCGCGCGCATCCCTACTGTGCACGATTTTTGCGTCATTAGCGCGCGCATATGATCGCGTGCACGTACACAACGTAAGAGATTTCCCTAAAGCTAAGCTCGACAGCAAAATAAATGCTCGTTTTCTCTTAAAAGAGCATGGTGACCTATATTTTTTATTGCATAATTTTGGTGTACAAATTGTCCGATTTAAGTGAAAAAAAATAAGAAAAAAATTGTTCGGAAGGAAAAAGAGATATAGCTAAAAGAGTGCACAAAACCGTTACTCGACGATGCGAATTATGACCTCGAAAAGGACGATTCAAGGAACGTTTTGAGGCAATGTCGTCTAGAATTGTGTTCTTTTTCCATAAATTATATCTTACATTGTTCCACGTTCCCGAGACTTTCTACCTATCAATATATTTTTTAAAGTATTGCTTTAATAACCTTAGCTTCCGGCTACCACAAATTATAACGTGAACTGATGAAATAACGCGCGTAGTTAGGCATAAATGGGGTAAGATTTACCTACCGTATTTCTTAAGCGAGAATGGTGACCTATCTTGTTTATTGTATTTTTCTAAACAGTGCTTGGTAGGGAACATTCGGGGAAAGTTTTAAAGAAATTGTTCGGCAACTTTTATTTATGAGGAACCACCTTAAGGAGAAATAATATGCTGATCTTGGTTTGTTTTCTCACAGGCTCGACAGTTTCAGCGCGAGGTAAACGACAGAAAAGAGTTGGAATATCGCTTGAGGGCCTTCACTGGCGACGATGTGACGTCATCCCTCTGGAGCTCAAAGACAAAGACGAAAAATGTTCCTAAGTAGACACAAGACTGCTCCAAGAAAATCATGTACATTTGACTTAAAGAAATTTTTGCAGAGTGGACATTAGAAGTTTTAGATTAATATATGATATTTTTATTTGATTCGAGAATTTTGGTTAGTGAGAAAAAAACGTTGCAGAGTCAATTTGCTCAGAAAATTACTTATTTATATATTTGGGAATAGACGCTTTTTGAGTTGACTTACCTCTTCCTATGTTGCTATTTTTTTGGGAAGATTCAGAGCAGTGTAACTGAACACAATTTGAAATTGATTGCACCAGATTAAAAAGTTCAATTAGAATACAGACTTGGTACTTTGACGATGTAATTAACTGTCCAGAAAGGAGCTATTAAGAGCGCGACCATACTGTTGTAAAAATGACTTGATTTAAATAATTCACCGTTACAAATAAACTTGAATATACATCTGGTTTGCTGTGAACTTTATTGTGGAAGCACTCACGACTTCAAGAGGCCAACATGTCCCCTCCCAGTCTTTACTGATGGTCACGCAACACTCCTCTCTAGTAACGGCTGTGAACGAAGAGGAGCGTTGCGTGACGATTCAAGTGACGACTGCAAAGGAGGCGACAATCTAGGATATAATAAAAAAAAAGCCACGACTGAAAATGTTTCCTGTGACGGAATCTTTACCGTTAATGAATTATAAATAAAACAAGTAGAAGACATCAAACACCTGTACACACAGAAATGAAACCGTTTATAAACGTCCACCCATATTTTACTACTATCAGTCACCACGGGAGACTAAAACCAGCTAGACTCATTACATATAGTTCGCGATTTTTCTAAACTTTTAAGGTCATTCCTTAGTTGCGCATTGCGCATTCTTACTGCGCAAAAGTTCACGCATGATTAGCGTTAATTAATTCACTTAAAGAAAATGGCGTCTTCTACTATACAGCCATTTTGTCAGAGAGATGTGCCGCCGTTTACTCGTCAACAAGCATGTCGATCTATAGCGTCCCATCGCAAATTTTTTTTACTCTAACAATCACCTTTCTGTAGATGAATACAGCCTCATTTCTGTTACAGAATAATGTATGTAAACTTAACCATGCAGTACTCATCAAAGTAATATAGTTGTGTTCTGGAGGAACACTTTACGCTAGGTTCAAGTTGAATCACCGTCAATTAACAATACGTGCCTTTATCAGTAGACATGTATTTTTTCAATGAGGTTCTTTTGCTGCTCCCACGAACTATTAAGTGTAGAATATTTTGTAAGGCATTACAGGGTATTTACAAGGTACTCATTCTCCTAAACGAATACCGAAATTCTTCTTTTTATTTTATCTCTAAACTTGAGTTTCCTTAAGATCACCAACAAATAAGCAAATTTTAAATGGAAATCCTTTGTAAGCTCTATTTACTGAAGTTCGGCCCTGCCTTCAGTGTGCTCAGTAAGCCCGGGGGGGGGGGAGGGGGAGGGTGGGTAACTTCCAGAAAAACTAGCTTCCCAAAACCCTTACCCTATTTATGACCAAAATCTGCGATTTTCGCTACCCCGTTTATGACCTGACCAAAAATTCGATACCCTTTTCATGACCGTTGCAACTGACACAGTTGCCCTAAACATAATATTTGAAGGGCTTTTGTTTATGGTCCTATCGATAATGATGAAAAAGTAGCTTCATTTAAAAGCATACCCAGTTCGAAACTAGAGTGCAAAACAGAAGCATATGACCTAAGCGATATGCTTCTGTACAAAAGCCCTACTCTATTTATGGCCAAAACGGCTGAAAAGCCATACCCTTTGGGGCCGCACACACCTATATAGTCCATATAGGGGAGTAGTACCCCCCTGGTCAGTAAGGAAGTTGTACACCGTTTCGCTCAATGTGTCACAGAGGACTAAGCCGTGTAAATACAGACCAAACACTGATCTCTTTTATAGTCGGTCTTAGGGTCACCCAAATCAAATCTTTATTCACGCCATTTTGATGGTGTAAAAACAAATGTAGGGTATATATATAAATAAGAAATAGATGAGTTTTAAATACGTGTGCGACAGCCAAAGTTGCAGAGCTTTCGAGTTGGCTGGGAAAGGGAAGAAAAAGTACACATAATTTATATTGAACTAATATATAATAAAGAGTGGAGTTAAAAAAAAAAGAAAACAAATATACTCAGTTACTATATACAACTATATATTAAACATTGCATACCACCTCTTACAGGCTTCTCATAAACAGTCAAAGTGTAGTAATACTAGAGGAAGAAAGTTCAGTTATAAACAAAAGAGAGACTACAGTGGGCTGTATGACTGATATTGAAGGAGATAAGTAAGTTGTTTAAGTACATATAAAAGCTCTATGTCTGGGCTTACAAGAACGGCCGGGAACGAAACTTGTTAACCAAATACAAGATTACTATGGTGTATCACCATTAACGTTTTTTTTTCGAATTTCCAATGACCGTCGTAAATTGATTGGAACTTATTGCAAACCGCAGGCAATGCAACAAACTGATCGGGAAGCGTTTCAAAACAACCTCTTCACGGAGAGTGTCATTATCTCGCCACTGCGATTGCTGCCTGGTATATTTGCATGAAACTTCGTCAAGAAAAAGGTGATTGATACTTATGAAAAGGACAAAATCGAGAAAATAATATTTTTTTCTTTTTCTTGGTTTGGTATATATATCCATTTACCTCTTTTAGCTAATATCTTTTCAACAGCTGGTGATTTTTGTTCATCGTGGTAGATCTTAGAGACTACATCGTGAGAAAAACAATATACACTGTATTATTAACACAAAACCTGTGACTGTCACACGGGTAAGGTGGTGTCATTTATAAAGGGGTTATGCCACGGTGTAGTGCGTAATTTTTTGAGATGTTCAGAGTTACTTTCGAATCCAGAGGAACCTCAAAATAAAAGATGACCTAGGAAAAAATAAAACTAATAAAACTAATAATAAAACACTAATAAAACACACTAATAAAACTAACAACTTGAAAAAATTGAAGCTAAGTTTTTCAAGAATTTTCCTTCCACGACATAGTTCCTTTGCCTTGTTTTCAACCTGATTAAGTAAACCAAAAGAAAATGATCCTATCTCTAATTTGTTAGAACATTTTTTTTTTGTTAACTTCAAGCAAAGCTGACACAAAACGTGAATTTGATTAGACATAGAAAATCGCCTAAAGATATTTTACTTCTGATCGCTGTCCTCAGCTTCCTGTTCGACTACATTAATAACCGGAAATACATGCTGTTCTTGTGGTGCCAGACATCCTCTCTGTTCCAGGTCCTGCTCAATCTGTTGTAACCTTCTGTACTTGCTGACGTGTTCAGCTCGGACTGGACCACCGAGTTTGATGAAACGCGCTCCAAAAGCCACGGCCTGAAAAATAAAAACGATCAATCTTTGCTAAGAAGAAACTAATGAAGTGACTAAAAGGTCCGACTACTAATTACTAAGAATCGATTTAGACAAAACAGCTTTGTTACGCGCAACTATTTGTACAACGCACTGCCACTGTTCTCCAAAAGCCGCACAAAACTCTACGATTGCCAAAGGGTCTCAATACCTGTTTCAAAATTCTGCGACATTTTTCGTGTCGTTCGTGACAATTATGAGCGTGTTACAGACGTGGTTTGCTCTGAACAAATTCGTGTCGTGGAATTACCATAAGCTTGCCGCCTGTGATAAACTTGTTACGTCTAAATCGTCCCCAGACTGTAAGTTAAACATTGTGCGAACAACATTGCACGCAATAAAAATGACATAATGATGAAATAAAACCAGAGGTGGACTGGACACTGTAACTGTGTTGCACGAACCATGCATATACCGAGGACAGTTTATACACGACTTTTCAAGCAACAGTTTTGGATGCGCGCACGCGCGTGCTACTCTAAAAACGCGCACGCACTTGTCGCGTATGCACGCGCACGCACTATTTGTTTACATCACGTTGACAAGGTGACAGTTAAAGCCACTGAGAAAGAACGTCTGGTTTTAACGTTTATCATTTTTTTTTCAAATGCATTTTGGGCGCCGGCATATTTCAGCAGCTTGAACTTAACTAAGTACGGAAGCGGTGGACTTGTGATGCATTATGATATGTAAAAGACGTTAAGGTTTTAAAACCGTTATGTACAGTTCTTCTGGGTAGATGCCTTTGGAAATATCGGCAATACGAAAGATTTAACTGCAAAACAACTTCCTTTTTTTACGCGAGCAAAAGTTCAGTTTCTCTATTTCCTTAAATCCATGGCGCTTAAGGTTTATCATGTAAAACCTTTTTCGTGTCAGCCACTTGAGTGGATAACTAAACAGCAATAGTTTGGTGGCAACTTCGAGTTTCAACGTGTTTAGATTGTTTTTAAAAATGGTATACTTTTAAAAAGCGATTACCTACGCAAGATTCGAGGTGAATCAGGCAGCTAAAACAATAAAACAAAAACCAAAAACAAAACGAAAAGAGCGAATAGAAAGCAATTAGTAGCAAAACACGACCGCCTTTAGACAGCAGACACGCCTTAAGTACTTGACATTTGACTCTATGAGAGTAATAGATAAAAATAACAGTCTTATGACTTCACCCGTGAGATAGAGAAAACAAAATTACATATCAAGGAATACGGGAAAAGGAAAGCAACAGCCTTTGAACGCTCCGACAGAAAATGACTCTACAAAGGATTTTTCTGACATGTTTTCTGGTCATGTATTGTACCTGTCATCTGGGTCAGGTTCTTGTGTGTTCGCTAGCAGCAGGTTAGAGTGAATATTTAATTCTGTGGATTATTTCGTGAGAAAAATAACGTTTTGGCCATGGGAATTTTCATTGAAAACATTGCACGGTTTCTTACTAACGCGTTATGAATCAAGTCGAAGCTGTGAGAGTTTGGTAGGGTTGTTTGAGATCTGATAATCTGTGTTATTTCGGACAATTGAAACTAAAAACCGGCAGCCATTTTAGCTGACTACAGACAACGGAAATATAGTAAGTAGCACCGAATATTGATGGTAAAAGAACCTCGGTGCGTGCAATATTTTCTGAATTATGGCCGAAAAGTATTAACCAAAAACCGTCAAGAAATTGTTTTATCGATTTCTGTGTTTAACAGAACACATATTACGCTATGATGAAACAGTTAGACTTCTAAACCTTGGTACTGTAGTTAACTTGTATAAGTGCTTCTTTCTTCTCAGAGTCGTGCGGTGTGAGACCAAAGTGGGCAGAACAAGAAAATGACAAAAGGATCACCGGAGGACATGAAGCTAAACCCGGCAGCTGGCCTTGGATGACGAACATTTTTGTTACAGGGCTTGGAGAGTACTTCAAATGTGGGGCCGCTCTGATATCGGACCGCTGGGTCCTTACAGCAGCTCACTGTACGATTGCCAACGTTGGGCCAATCATGGCAGCCGCCAGTAAATATCCAGAGATGTTAAGGGTAATATACGTTCCACAACAACTGTTATAAAGATTACTCAGTCAAACCTAACGAACAGTTGGTATTGGCTAACGGTGAATGGGATACCCATGTTTATATCATGCAATAGAAAATACAGCCAATCAGAATAGCAGAAAGCCGTTGAATACTCAACGGTATCACACCCAATCTTCCCATCGTGCGCTGCGCGTATGTCGCATTGATTGTGATGACCACTGCATTTTCTCTGGCGTGGTATAGTTGTGCAACTCTTTCTCGTGGTATGCTATAGAATATCCCACGTGTCACTTATATTTTCGAGAAAAAACAAGCGACTCTTGAGATATTCTATGGTGTATCACTCGAAAGCGTGGTACAACTAGTATATAGCCTATGAATTATATAACTTTGATCCAAAGTCTACCGCTCACTTAATTAGCTTCCGCACTCTGAACTTCATATCACGGCTACAGTAGGTTATATGTTTACGCCAGCCCCATAATAGGCAGACACCGTCCTCAGAAAGTCCCAAACGTTTCTGCACATATTTTCTGTAAAACAAATCTGTGTTAGCCAGACACCTCTATTAAGCGGACACGAGCGAAGGGCCCATGACTGTCCGCTTAATACAGGTGTCACTGTACATTCATTTCAAGCAAACAGATTCTGTTTGTTTTATGAAATTCAGCTGGAAAGAGGCAGCATTCCTATTCTTGGAAAAGATCTGATCACGTAAGACAAATATACACGGCGAACTGCAATAGAAAAATGAAACCTCTCACTACAAAGTAACTCGCACCAGTCTAGCTTGATTTTCCTTTCATGGCAGAAGATATTGAAGATAGTGTCTTGATGAAATAACAAATTCTCAGAACTAACATTTTAAGAAATCTATGACATTAAGTAAAGAGAATTCATATTTCAAGGTACGTGTTGGTGAACATAACATGGATAAGAAGGAAGGTACCGAGCAGGATATAGCCGTGGAAAAGGTGATCATGCACCCGAAATGGAACATAGAAACAAAGAAAACGTCCAATGGACTGAAGATTTTAACTACACATGACATCGCCCTGATACAGCTCAGCAGTCCGGTCAAGTTCTCCTCCAACGTGCAAAGCATGTGTCTTGATAATGGGCAGCCCTTTAGAGCCGGTAAGAAGTTTATAATTGCATTAGCTCTTTTAACTCCCAAAATTAACCCGTAACAGTTTTCAATTGAATAGTCACACAAAGTAGGGTTTGATTAACCGACTGAAAAGTCAGAGCCACCTTGTAGAGCATAACAAGCAGTACCACATCAAAGTACTGCTCAGTAGCTTCTATTTGAGCGGCCACACTGTGGTTTCACGGACAGACTTAAAAGCTAGCACCGCCTCGCACAACATAATAAACGGTACCACATGAAAGTACTGCTCAATAGCTTTCATCTGAATGGTCACAAACTATGGTTTCATTCACAGATTTAAAAGTTAGAACCATGTTGTGCAGCATAATAAACGCTACTGTTCAATTGCATCTCATTCGAGCGCCCACACCACTAGCTTTTAACTCACAGACTTCTGGGTTACAACCATGTCGCACAGCATGACGACTAGTAAAACATGTACGTAAATGTGCAGCTCACTAGCTCTTACTTCAATGTCTGCAATACTAGGCTTCATCCACAGACTTAAAAGTTTTATTTTCATCCTACTGAACGTTTGACAAATTCGTAGAAATAACATCATAAACTCTAGACCTATTCAAGTTTTTTTTGCTTTAGATACCATGTGTTACATCGCTGGTTGGGGGACACAGAAAGTCAAAGGCCCTCCAACAAGAGTGCTCCATGAGGCTGCTTTACCACTGATATCACACGAACAGTGCAACGCCCCCCGGTCATATAACGGAGTTATCACAAAAAACATGCTCTGTGCAGGATTCCAGCAGGGGGGTGTAGACACTTGTGAAGGAGACAGTGGGGGTAAGTAAGTGTCAAGGCTTACTCTACGGGCTTAACTCGCAGAGTGAGTTACTTTATTCCAGCTTTACAATTTTCTTCCTTTCTTTACAGGTCCTCTGATGTGCAAGGGAGGAGAGGGAAGGTGGTATTTGACCGGGGTGGCATCGTTTGGTCACACTGGGTGCGGTGTGCCGTACAAGTATGGTGTGTACACAAGAATAGTGAACCATCTGGACTGGATTTCAAAGGTCACAGGAATGAACATACAACAGCCGCCAGTTGAGGACATACCACTGATTACAAAGAGATGACAGACAGCAGAGTCAGAGAGAGCTAACAAGAATGAAAGTCATGCAAAGGGTGCGAAAGCTGCGAGCGAACGCGGCCTTACATTGGTCACCACATTCTTCGGTTTAAAACCACACATAAGATTATCACACACAAACTTACCAACAAAGCATTGAGTCCGAACGCGCAGTATAAAATAAAGCATGTCTGGGACAAAACCGGAACTAATCAGCATTGGGCGTTTCTCTTAATGGTTCACTCAAGGAACCTGTATGCCTACTTAGAGTCTACTTATGCCGTACTCTATTTGCAATATACAAAACCACACCTCAAGTTAAGCAGCGTTATTATAATAGCAGTGAACCTTTGTAATTGTTTTCTTTAGAAAATGTATCTTCGACTGTATTGATAAAAAATTGAAATATCTAAAACGGTAACCACAGTTACCGTGTTCAGAAAGCAATTTCATTCGGATAAGAAAACGTTTCAACTTGAAAAGAAATACTGCTCGTTTTAAATAACATAAATATTATTGTCAGAAGGTCTGAAATGTAAAGAAAACGTAGATTTCCACCGTATCTCACAGTTTTGTGTTCGTTTGGTATTAATGTTACCAAAAGAGTCGAAGTATTTTTAATGAGAATTAATTCTTGTCTTTCAATATGTCTTCCCGGAGTAAACAATCTTAGGTTGCTTTTGGAAGAACTCAAGAAATTAAACGGTCGGTTATGGAAGCCTGACCGCGCTTCTCTACCTATAAAAAAGATCACCCATGAAATAAAAAACTTATTGAACTAAAAAAAAATGTTTTCCCGATGTTGTTATCCGCATCAATGAAATGTTCTGTTTCAACTTATCTGCAATATTCAGTTCTCTTACTCGAAGTTCTGCCGCCCTAACCCGACATTCTAGAGGGTGGGTCCTGGAACTGACTCACGAAAACGATGCAGGGCCAGCAAGTCTGAAACGCGCGCGAAAGTAAATGGCAAACCTAACTTTNAGTGTTAGCTTGATCCACGCCAAGAGCTACAACACTGCTTAGCTTGTCGGCCACTCCGAACTCTAAAATACTGGAGTGTTTTCTGTACAAGTCACTGCCAACTATAAAGCACTTCTCTCCAATCCTCTGGTTGAGTTTTTTACAACCCTCGCTGTCCTGAAGAAAGATTTCACGAGAAAACCATGACAATTCCGTTCAAATTTAATGAACGATGAAACTACTCATTTATTCCCAAAATCCATGGTGAAAAATCTGAGGCACTCAGTTAATTTATTTAGGCAAAGCAGTTCGCTGGAAATACACAAAATGTAAGCGTAGATATATAGGGAGTAGCTATCTAACCTCCTATCCTTCCCAACCAGCTATTCAGCCCTTAGGACAGAACGTATCCCTTCTCTTTCAGTTAGCCCCTGGCGGTAAATGGCATTCACGGTGCAGGGAAAAAGGTAGAATTTCCAGCTCCACGAAATTGCCGTCTAAATCTTCCACTTGTTTCCAGTTTCACCCGAAAATTATGGAAGGTTCTACTGTAACCATCTACGACACAAGTTTTGAAAAAGTTTTGTGTGTTTATATTCATGTACGTTTACACTCGCGCGTGTTACAAAGCGCGTGTTCACACGCACGCGTGTTTAAACTCACGCGTGTTTACACTTAAACGTATTTATACTAACCGGACTCCTGACTCCGTCCACAATAGCTAAGATGCCGGGATATCTCTCATGAAGTTCACAGTACAAGTTTATGACATCATCCAGACTTTTAAAAGTGTTAGACATTATCTCGTACTTCTGCTTCTCCTGTGCAAGACAAAATATATTGTAGTTTTATTTGAACGTCAGGATTTGAGTTTGTAAAATAGATGGTAACAATTGACTATCACACGCACGCACGCACTCGCTCGCTCGCACCCACGCACGCTCGCGTACGCGAACGAGTTCACTCATAAGTTACAGTGAAGACATTAAAAGTCTACTTTCTGATGCTACACACCATCATTTCTCGTGGAAATAGTAATATTAGATGGTATGATGATACGCACAGACACTTCCGTTTACCAGTTTTAGCTCCTTTCGTCGGGTATATAAAATTGACCAAAGCTTTTGCAGTTTTAACAAAGGGTATAACAATAAAAACAAAAATACTCAGTACACCTTTTTACACGCGTAGGTGCTAAGATTAGAAGTTTTCGAAGTTATATTTTTAATATAACTACTGCACTTTTTGATAAAACAGTGACCATCGCATCACTTCGTTTGATCTGACTTACTTGATCATAAAACTCTGAAGCTGCGCAGTTGAGAGCGATTTGAACATCAGTGCCCAGGCTATACCCACAGCTGGACACGGCATCTTGTACAAAATCCAGCGCTTGCTCTGGCTTGTCCATTGAAGGAGTGTAACTGCCATCATCGGTTGTGCATCGGCCAGACGGCTAAAAACACAAACGTTAAATTACATTTGAACTCACTGAAGTCTTAACATGGATGTAAGCGAAGGTTAATTCTACCAGGTGGGGCAAATGTAGCCAACACTACCTGTGTTTAACTCCACTTTTCGTAGNAAGGTAACAATTGTCAAAATCGCCTGACTATTTTTCCAGTACGTATCTTTTTTGCCTTCGATATCTTGCTACCAGACACCTTGAAAGTAGCAGTATTTTTGTCGATAAAATCTGAGAATCGGGAAGTACTGAAAAAATCATTGAATAATGCAATTGAAGACTTTTCATTGGCTTAATTAGCCATCATGGAATATGAGCCATTACACCATGCTCTACAAATATGGTAAGCATGCACGTAATTTTTGGGGGCGTTTATATTTTAATTTATTTTTAGTTTAGTTTTCTATATTTGGAGGTGTTTTTGATAAAACAATTATTCCACTCGTCCTTGTTGGATAATTGAGATGGCTATGGCCAAGTGGGTGCTACGCGCCTCGTTGGCTATCTCTATCATCTCAAATCCAACGCGCGCTCGTGGTATATAATTGTTAAATATATCACTCTTAACAGAAAAGGTAAACCTTAATGGTTCCCCCCCCCCACCCCCCTCACACACCTACAGTACGCTTTTACCGACCTTAAAAAAAACCCTGCAGAAATAATTCGACCTTAAAAGGCCTTCGCATCTCGACGTCATCACTTGTTTAGCTGGGCCATACAAGATATTTTGAGAGGCCCGCCCTTATAAATATGTCAACGGTAGTTTTTCTATCCTTTTGTATACTTCAACTTGTGAAAACCAGAAGACAAAATAAAAAGACAAAATCAATTTAGAGCCTTACCCCATATTTCTGTGCTAGAGTGTCTGCCATTTGCCGATGTATGTTGGCAAATTGATGTACGACCTGAAAAAGGAAGGCGAAAAAATTGTCCTTAATATGTTGTTCCATCATCGTTAAGTACGAAGAAATCCTGTATGTTGCTATCTTTTTCTTCCCTTCCTCTTGCACGAATTTAATAGTAATTTGAGCAGTCAAGTTATTTAAGGAAGCTTGTAAAAAACAATGCACTGATTTCAAGATCGGAAATACAGCGAGACAACAAACAAGCAACAGCAGTAACAATGACAACGACTCAGCACTACAACAACAACAACAACAACAACGAGAACATATTTATATATGATACCTTTTGCATGGGCGTTCCTGGTTGAGGTAAAATGAGAACTTCCTTGATAAGATTCTGTTTCCCCGCAGCGAACTTGCCACTTGTTAGTAACGTCATCATTGGAATGGGAAGAGAAAAGCTTTCATCCAACTGTAGTTATATAAAGTCTTGATATAAGTGAAAGGCAAGATATTCATAAAAGTTTTAAACAGGTAGTAGAGAAGTGAGAAATCCGACTAATAAATAGAGAACAAAAGGGATGTAAATGGCGTATATCTGTTGACAATGATGACAGAACTTGACAGCATAAGAAAACTAAGTCATCCAGTTAAGAGCAGCCCTAGCTCTAACTCACGAAAACAAATTTCTTACTCCATTTCTGTTCGAGGAACAAAACGTCTGAAATTTGAGCCAAATATTCCAAACCGAGGTTTATTTTTCAGGCTGGTCGTTACTCAGTTCCGTTTTTTTGCACATGATTAACAACCAATCACAGATGCTGCATCATTCTCTTTTCGTAATCCATTCTCTTAAATCCTTTCTCTTAATTCCAATATTTTCACGTTCCTCAGGCACATATTCACTCTTCTTTTTCTCGGTCTCAATAATTAGCTTTTCAGCTATGTAAGTGCATGTACGCAGTGACATGAAAAAAGCTGGTGGGTGAACTTTTGTTCTCGACAATCATGTGCAAACTCTTGAGTGAAATAATTTAAGTTTACGGTGTACTTAAAATCAAATGCTAAAATACCTCTTTTCCAAATACTTTAGCTAAATGGTCGTACAAAGAGACCCCCTTAATCTTTGCACCAGTGACAGCTGTTCCCATGGAAATAGCAATCATGGCACAGTCTCTACAGAGCTCGTCTTCCTCCAGATCTGGGACGGTTTGTGCTAGTAACTCCTTATTTCCTGCAGTGCTTTTTTTGCCGTCTGTTTTCTTGCCAGTGTCTTGTGATAGATGTGATTGTTTACTTTCTCCCCTGGAGACATTAGACTTCTTGGTTGTGTCTAGTTTCCCTTCTTCTTGGTTGTCCTCAGCTCTCTCTGAACCCTCACCTTCTCCAGTTTGATCTTCAACAGCTTCACTGCTGTCAATTTTTAAAGCAGAGTTTTCTTGTTCTAATAGTTTCCTAGAAGCCACAGGAAAAACAAGAAATATTATTTTGTAAATAGGCTGTTTCAGACGTTCTTCTCTGAAATTAAACTCTCATTGCACATTCAATCCCATTGTTTGTTGCTGTTTCACAGTTACAAGAATGAAGAAGCCAAATGAAGATGAAGATAACTCAATAAACATATAAAGGCCTGTTAAAGCTTGTACGCTTAAGGCCTTGATTTTGATCTACTGATATCATGGAAGAGTGTGCTTGGTATAAAGAAATACATATAGTTAAATCTTCGAAATAGTTCAACATGACATCATGAGAGAGATAAGTTATAGGTATGCAATGTGTGCAGGCTATGAAGCTGTAGTCCTTTGCACATATTGCAGGCCTATGGTACAAGGTGAACGTGTTATAGGTACGCAATGCATGCAGAGGGCTAGGAAGCTGTAGTCCTTGGCACATATTACAGGCCTATGGTACATAGTGTTATAGGTATGCAATGCATGCAAAGGGCTATGAAGCTGTAGCCCTTTGCATTCATTGCAGACCTATGGTACAAGGTCATAGTGTTATAGGTAAGCAATGCATGCAGAGGGCCATGTAGCTGAAGTCCTTTGCACATTGCAGATCTATGGTACAAGGTAGTAGTGTTATAGCTATGCAACGCATGTAGAGGGCTATGTAGGTACACAATACATGCATGAGGCTACTCGCCTGTAACCCTTTGCCTGCATTCCGGGCACACGATCCTTGTTACACTGCATCAACATTTTCTCATCGTCTCTAAATAAATTGTTTAATATACATATAATTGTAGTTGTGGTGTCAAGAAATGTTTTAGAATGGAAAAGCCTTGAAAGTATTTATTTATAACTCAAAACGAATTAAACAAACTTTCTTACTGTAACATCTCATCAACAGTCTTCTGATTAGTTGGGTCAGATCCCACAATAAGCGGTGCGATGGTGTCATCAATTCTCTCAATCATTTCATCTACTTCTAGTTCTTTAACAACACTGTCTGGTTCTCCTACACTGCTTGTGACTGCAGTTTCTGTTGGCTTTTGCTGTTTGGGTTGATCAGGAGTTTTGACCTTGGTGTGAACAGAGTCTGGACAAAGACTGGAATCCACAGAGGATACAACACTTGCTACAGGCTGCAAAAATGAACCACATCATCATCAATCTGTCATCTCTGCTTTTGTCATAAAAGTGCCCATTTTTTTAATCTCACAACTTAAAATAAAAATAATATGGTTACAAAAATGAGCATTATTTTGCCAACATTACCGGTGTAGCTCTGATCATAGTGCATGTACACGCCATAGATGGGAGGGTCTAAAATATTTAAGAGCCTCCTTAAACAAAATTTGTCTCTGGTTAGAAATTACTGGATTGAAATTGTTTTAGATCATGTTAATATAATTAATGATGCTATTATATGAAACAAAGAAAAACAATAAAAATATAAAAATCCAAACAAAAAGCAAACAATTTTAAACCAAGTGCTATGTTAGAGTGGTTTTCAAGTGACTGTCAAGAAACCAAAACCAAACCAATTACCTACCAGTTAGACTATTCAGCCAATCTCAAGCTGTAGTAAAACCAAGACCAAAAACAAAGTAATTGCCAGATTACTTTCGACACTCAATTGAAAACCACTCTGTACAGTTTTTTTTATCAATAGAAAGGTATATTGAAATTATCAAGCAAGGCAAAATAACTAAACAAATAATTACACAAATAAATGTTAAATAAACAGATAAAAGTAAGACCTTAAAATAAAATAAAATTAAATGCTAAACATGTACATGTTTGTGAGGTGATCATTAAGTTGAACCATTTACCATGTACCTTTGAGAGTCCATTTATTGTGCAGTCAAAGCTAACTTCAAAAGTTGGAAACCCTCTGCTACCGAGAATTTCTGCTGCCGAAACCTGAAAGCAATGTCCAAAGCATACATAACAATAATTAATATCAAATATTGGTGATATTTTAACTCAAAAACAGTCTCTGACTTTTCTCTCAACATGCTATTACATGACAAAATTGTGTGCTTCTTCACACTTTTTCCAGATCCCTCTTACAATGTGCATTTCACCTAGGAGAGTGGGTGGGTTTTTGTTAGGGGGCTGGGGTTACTCTGTAATTAAATACTTCATGTCAGTAACAATGTTATGTCATAATGTCAATTCTAGAGAGAGTTCAGTAGAAGTTTTGAGATGACTACCACATGGTACTGCGTACTCCTTGCATGTGCCTTGTTAATACTTATACTACTGGAAGTAAATGGTTTTCATGAAACAAAAATTAATTCATCAAAAAAACAACTCTAAAAAACTGAAGACCTGAGACAAAAATAGAGAAATATATACCACAATATGAGCAAATACCTTTGATATAGTTGGTGCATGTGAACGCCTTCCAAAGTATTCTCCCTGCAAGAACCATATTAATATATATTAAATATTCATCAATATTAGTGTTGATCTTAAAATACATAAATATCTCAAACCAAAACTAATACTCTAATTTAGTTTTTAATTTTTTTACTCTATTTTACCTTAGTTACTGGGGACCTCCTTGAAAACCACACAATGTGACGGGAGCTTCCTCCATAAAGATTATTTATTATTATTATCCTTATCCTTATCCTTATCATTATCATTACCATTATTATTATTATTATTATTNCATAGTTTTCTATATTTTGGGGGCATTTTTAATGAAACAATCTATTCCACTCACGCTTGCTGGATGAGATGGTTATAGCCAATTCAGCGCTAAGCGCCTTGTTAGCTATCTGCCATCTCATATCCAACGTTTGCTTGTGGAATAATTGTTTAATAGCTGCCTGAGAGACAGGTCCGAGGAAAAATACTGATACTACTGAAATTTTTATTCTTGCCAGCTAGTTTGGATAACTACATGTAACTGAAGCTTTCTTTCAAAAAGTAGTATGAGATATGTAATATTGTTCAATATTGACTGGGGGTATATCTGATCAAATTTACTGATTTTTAGTTGGTTGTGGCAAAGGAAAGAGAGAGGTGGGCTAGGAAGCTGTGGAATGATTTATATGGAACAAGACACCATTAATTTGGGAAGATTAACTTATGATAAAGTTGTACCAGTTCCAGGAAGGATGCAAAATGTAAGGGGTACAAGGAAAAGGTGTGCAAAGGAATCCATGATAAAACTCCACATAAGTTTATAATCATGAACAGAAATTAACAAAACACCTTGGACTAGAAAATGATACACTACAGTAGGTGTACATGTTGGCCTATTATATACAGCTATATACAAAATTAAAACGCACAAGTAAGCTTAATCATTTAAGAAAATTTGCTGTTATCTAAGACAGTGATGACGCGTATTATTTGGAGGGGCATGAAGGGGTAAAATGGGAACTGGGATTTGCCCTTTTTACGGGCTGGGAAAATGGGATTTACCACACTGGGACTGGGATTCAATCACTGAGAATGGGATGAACAATTTCAAAGATGGGAAAGGGATTTTTATTTTTAGCGCTCTCTGACGCTGTTTTTCGACACCACTGTTTAATTGAGCCTATTCTTTTACATAAAGAATTAAAATTCTGCATCATTAGACCTCACTAGACACATAGAATCATGATAGTTTTCGTTTCTTCATTCTAGCTATCGGGCTCCGCACAGTTTTATTGGTACATGTAAGTTCTGTCAGTTTTCCTGGGCAGCGGTTTGTTTTTGATGGAATAATATGGGCATGTTTGCACGTGGTCGGAACGTGACGAGTACAGCGGCAGCGAAAGTGGAGACAGTGGGTGCTTACCATTTAGCAAAAAATCTGGAAATTTCGGTTGAAAGTCAACTGGAACAGTAATTTTCCAGAAAATCCTTTCAGAAATTGTAGACTACCTCCAGAGGTAGTCCTCTTTTCCCATTCGAAATGGAACAACGGAAATTTCCTTACCATTTGGTAAATGTTACAGTTCCCAGTCTCTCATCAGCTGAAAACAATTATGAGAAATCGAATTGTAAATGGTATGTGCCATCTAATTTGGCTGGTTTGCTGGCTTTGGAAAAACCTTTACTGTTATTCAACGGTCATCCCAACCGGTTCATTCTGACAAATGGTAAGCACCCAGTGAGTCTGACGAGGATTGTGCATATGATACAAGTGCTTTCAATACAGTTATGCCAACAAGGACTGGAAGACAAAGACTGCTCACCAGATGAGTGAGAGTTTTTTTTTCAGTCCAGGTGAAGGTATGTGTGTATCCAAACGACGTCAGTCCGCGCTTTTAATTAATCATACACATTAGTCTGCAAACAATCACTGGGAAGGNCCCCCCTTCATGACCCTGTATTTGATACGATATTCTCATACTCGAACAGGAATCCCACAAAAATCTTTGACAGGCACAGTGAAAAAAATAAGTTGTTATTGTATTTACACCTCAACGTTCGAAGACATAAAGAAGCACAGAACGACATCTACGTACCATATAGCCAAATACATCAATTGGTTTTTCCTTGAACATCTTATTGAGAAGTTCTTCGATCTGTTTTGGGACTTCATTCTTGTTAAAATAAGCCACAGCTTCCCGTTTCTCCTCCAGACTGTATGCACCCTTTTTGACCGCCATTTTGAATCGCCAAGGCAACTTTAGTTGTTTACAGCAGTCTCGTTTTCATGCATAGACAAGTATTAGTTCTAGTCCACTCGCATTTTCCTGAACTCCTGCGAGCTATCTGAAAAGACGAACAGTTTATCAGAAGTATTAGCAAAACATAAAGAAAATGACCGCTACTATATCAGTGAATTTACTTTTAATTATAGACTAAACATAACCTTGTGATACTTTCTGAGATCAAACTGTGAGTTTATTTCAACAACAACAAAAAATCAACATTCTATCAAGGGAGTTTTAACGTTTTGAGTGTCCTAAACGACCTTAAATCTGTTACAATAAGAAATATACATTACCAGCATGAGTAAGGGTAGAACAGTGAGAACAACAGTATTCAAGGCTTGCAAATTATTTATTTACGTTAGTTACCATCTTAGGCTGAATGATCATGCCCACATAAAGTTCGATTACAAGTGTCTTTTTTGACCAAAAGGGCGAGGAAAAGACCTGAAGGCGGTAAATTAAGCTTCTTCATGTTAACGTAGTACTGAGTCTGAAGATACCAACCTAATTTTATCGATGACATGTTTCTTGTTTCTGAGAACATGACTTTGAGAATTGTCTGATACGGTTGGTTGAGTCGTTTTGATTGCGGGAGGTTAAAAACAAATCCATTAGTCTCTTAACTGACCGTCATAAATCTTCTGAACTGTCATTTCTGAGAATTTGGTGATATCACAAGGCAATATTCTCTAATCGTGGAAATTTGTTTATACTTATCATCTGCGAGTTTGCTAATGTACTGTATACGAAGAATTAGATGTCGTCGGATCAATTTAAAAAGTAAATATTTATAACTTAGAAAT